AGTTAGCTATAAGGAGGTGACCTCAGTTTTGGTGAATTACGAGTTGAGGAAGAGTGATGGTGAACCCTCCGAGAATACATCGGGAGATGCATTAGCTGTTCGAGGCCGAGATCCAAATCGCCGCCAGTTCAACCACTCAAAGTCAAAGAATAGGAGTGCCTATAAGAGTGTTGGTAGAAATTAATATCTGTATTGTAAAGAAGAAGGACATTGGAAGATTGACTACCCAAAGTGGAAAGAAAAAGCCGGGAAGAACAAAGGGAAAGCTGCACAAGCTTCAGAAGTGAATGTTGCAAAAGCTATTGATGAGCATTCAGATTCAGATTCTTCGGGCTACTCGTATCCTGCACTACCGTCGATTTGCTATGCTGATTCCACGGAGTGGATGATGGATTCAGGAGCTACATATCACATATATCTTAGGAGGGATTGGTTCTCCAGTTTGAGGAGCTGAAAAGAGGGGATGTCGTACTTATGGGTAATGACCACGTATGCCCTATTGGTGGTATTGGTTCAGTCCAGATTAGGATGCATGACAGAGTGATTAGGGAGTTGAAGGGAGTGAGGTTCGTGCCACAGTTGACGAAGAACATCATTTCTCTTGGGACTTTGGAGGTAGCTGGATATAGATTGATCTTAGAGGATGCTACAGTGAAGGTCATGAAGGGTTCTATGATGGTGATGCGAGGTGTCAGAGAAAACAACCTATACTACTTAAAGGGTAAGATGGTTACAGGGGGTCTGACAGCTTCTATCACTATAGAGGAGGATACTATCACTTTATGACACATGAGACTTGGACACACAGGTGATAAGTCCCTACAGTCATTAGAAAAATATAGACGATTGAAAGGTGCTAAGACCTACAAGATGGAGCTGTGTGAGCATTGTGTATTTGGAAAGAAGACTAGAGTGAAGTTTGGCACCGCTATTCACAATACCCGAGATACATTGGATTACATTCACACAGATGTTTGAGGTCCTTCCAAGAACACATCTATTGTGGGGCCAATTATTTTATCACTTTTATTGATGATTATTCCAAGAGGAATTGGGTATACCCTATGAAGCATAAATATCAGGTCCTGGTTATTTTTGTGGAGTGGAAAAAGAAAGTGGAGCTACAGACAAGTAGAAAGGTGAAGACTCTACATTCAGATAATGGTGGAGAGTACAAGAGTAATCCATTTCTGTAGTTTTACTGGGATCACGGCATTAGAAGACACTTCACAGTTCGAGAGACACCGCAACAGAACGGGGTGGTTGAGAGATTAAACCGTACCTTACTGGAGAAGGTGCGATGTATGATAACGTAGAGTGGATTGCCTAGATCTTTTTGGGCCGAGGTGTTGGTTTATGCAATCCATCTCGTGAATAGGTTACCGTACACTGCGATAGATGGGAAGACTCCTTTGGAGCGTTGGTTTGATTCAGTGGCTAGTGACTATGAGTCGCTTCGGATATTTGGGTGTCCAGCTTATTATCATGTCAGTGATGATAAATTAAATCCGAGGGCAAGGAAAGCAGTCTTTGTGGGATTTAGAGATGGAGTTAAAGGCTTCAAGTTATGGGATCTACAAGATAAGAAGATAGTTATTAGCAGAGATGTCACATTCGATGAGGCGTACATGATGAGACCTCGAGTCCCTCAGCAAGTGGAGGGAGACCAGACAGTTGAGATATCACAGCATGTGGAGGTTATGTGACTCCACCCACTCCAGAGAGCATTGTATCCATCGAGGCTCTTACAGAGGTGACACTGGGAGGAGATAGGATGACACCCGGGCAGATTGAGGATACAGTGGAATGTGAGACTCAAGAATAAGGTCATGTTTAGGGGTCCATGGCAGCAGATAGACCGAGGAGGGTAATTCGTCGGCCATCTAGGTATAATGATATCATGGTCGCATATGCATTATCAGTGGATGTCATTGATGATATGGTTCCATCCATATTCAGGGAGGCAGAGTCTAGCCCCGATTCGATCAGGTAGAGGGAAGCTATGGAGGAGGAGATGCAGTCTCTTCAGAAGAACGACACTTTGACACTTACACATCTACCTAAGGGTAAGAGAGCTATAGGTTGCAAGTGGGTATATGCGAAGAAGGAGGGATCTTTTATTGGGGACATTCGGTTCAAAGCCAGATTGGTTTCCAAGGGATATGCACAGCTTGAGGGCATTGATCACAACAAGGTATTTTTACCCGTTGTGAAGCATTCATCGATTCGGATTTTATTAGCGTTGGTGGCACAGTTGGATTTAGATTTGGTTTAGATGGATGTAAAGACAGGACAATCTTTCTATACGGAGATTTAGATGAGGAGATCTACATGACACAACCCTTGGGGTCCAAAGCTACAGGAAAAGAAGAATTGGTTTGCAAGCTGAAGAAGTCTCTTTATGGTTTGAAGCAATCGCTGAGACAGTGGTATAAGAGATTCGATAGCTTCATGATTAGCCATGGGTACACGAGGAGCCCATAAAACCCATGTGTTTACATGCACAGGCTACAGGATGGTGATTACATATATTTGCTTTTATATATTAACGATATGCTTATTGCTTCCAGGAATTCTTCGGCTATTCAAAAGTTGAAAGAGGAGCTGTCATCCAAATTTGAAATGAAGGATCTTGGAGAGGCAAAAAAGATATTGGGTATGAAGATCGAGAGAGACAGGGTGAAGGGGAGTTTGAAGCTTACACAGAAGAGCTATTTGCAGAAGATGTTGGAGAAATTCAGCTTTGATGGTAATGCAAAAACAGTTAGCACTCCATTGGCTCCCCACTTTAAGCTTTCAGCGTTGATATCGCCTGTTTCAGTTAAGGACAGAGATTACATATCAAATGTCTCATATGCCAGTATAGTAGGTAGCTTGATGTACGCGATGCTGTGTACGAGGCCAGATTTGTCACAGGCCGTGAGCATGGTATCAAGATACTTGCACGACCCCGAGAAGGGTCATTGGGAGGCCGTGAAGTGGATTCTATGGTATGTTCGAGACACCGTGGATGTTGGTTTGGTATTCCAGAAGGATGAGGAGAATGTGCAAGATTGTATTGGTTACGTGGATTCAGATTATGCTGGAGATCTTGACAAGTGTCGATCCACTTCAGGTTATGCTTTTATATTGGCAGGTGCACCTGTATATTGGCGATGTACACTTCAGTCCATAGTGGCTCTCTCTACTATAGAGGTGAAGTATATGGAGGTGACTGAAGCTGTTAAGGAGGCGTTGTGATTGCGTGGATTATTGGAGGATTTGGGGATCGCACAGGAGACCATTCGAGTATATTGTGATAGCATGTCAGCTATCTATTTTAAGAAGAACCAGGTTTATCATGCCCGCACGAAGCACATCGATGTCAGATTCCACTTTGTTTATGATGTTTTGGATGAAGGAGACGTCATATTGGAGAAGGTCCACACGAACAACAACCCTGCAGATATGTTGACCAAAGTTATTTCAGGAGTGAAATTTGGTCATTGTTTGAAGCTTTTGAACATTCTTCAGTGTTGAGGCCTTTGGAGGCAATTTGGATGAACTACGTTCGGCTTGATTCCTTGGGCAAGAGGATAAGTAGGCAGTCTTCTAGATGTAGCCGGTTTGATTTCGATGGGGGAGATCGTGTTTCAGCTCTAGTTTGGATCCCGGACTTGTTGTGGATTGAGTCCATTATCGTGGGGTGTTTCCACGACACGTCCTGGACACAACAAGTGAGCCTTTTGGATGATTTGGTGTCGGCTCAGTTTTGGTAGAAACATTCGCTGAGGTGGAGAATTGAAGAAATGACGAAAGAAGCTCAAAAGAAGCTAAGGAGAACGGTTAGGCAGACTAGCGATCGACCGCGAGTCAGCGACGGTCGACCGCGAACATGCACAAAGGCTAAGCGGTTAGGCAGACTAGCGATCGACCGCGAGTCAGCGACGGTCGACCGCGAACATGCACAAAGGCTAAGCAGGAGCTGGATCAGAAGACGATCGACCGTCGCGGTCGACCGACAGAGACCTTATGGGATTCTGGGTCTCGGGAATCAATTCGGTCGACCGCCGTAGTCGACTGCGCAATGACTGTAAACATTTATATTCTCGGGAATTGGTTCGGTCGACCGTGGCAGTCGACCACGATACTTGCGCGGTCGACCGTCGCGGTCGACCGTAGGCTGTTTAGGCTGGGCTTTGGGTTTTTAACCCGGTTCGTTTTGGAGCTGATATATAACTCTAATTCTGATTAGTTAGGGTGAAGTAAGGACGTTTTTGAGCAATCTTTTGGAGATGATTGCTGCATCCAATTGTGGGAGATTTGTGAGAGATCTAGAGTTTTGTTTTAGGGTTTGATCTGTGAGATTTGTAACTCTATTTGTATTCTCTTGATTTCTAATAGTAAGAACTCCCCCCTCCTTACCCCGTGGACGTAGGCAACTTGCCGAACCACATAAATAGTTTGTTCTTGCTGTGATTGTAATTTGCTTATTGGTTGTGATTTATCTCGAGTTATTGTTCGTGTCGCCTCAAAGCTTCCGCCGCGCACAACAGATAGTAACCTCTTGATGGAAAAAATGAAAGAAATAAATCAAAACTTACA